AATGTTACCGAACACCGGTGCTCTTTGTCTACAAGAACGCATACCGGCGTCTGGCCGAGAGATATTTTGACGTTTATAATAGACTCCAGGCTGTGGAGAAGTTCTACCACACATTTGGTCACTGCTGAGACATGTTAGTGCCTCCTAAATCTCCTAAATCTAAACCGCGGCCTTTGGCGAGAACTCGTAACGTGTGACATAAAACGTTCCGGAAAGCTAGCGGCCTACATAAAGCTAACTACTGCAAAAGTGTGTGTAACTAGTTTACGGATACATTCTTGTAAAAGTTTGTGTGTATTAAGGAGGATGTAAACACTGTGACAACTTTTGGCAAGGTTTTCATGAAACCTGTCAGCGATGTTGGCACGCCATGTTCGGGTTAGGCCACACTGATTTAATTTTATGTATGACATCTACGCTCGCGTTGATGTTCGCCTCCTTCGAGGCTCTGGCCTAGGTGCCATCCTCCGTAGTCCATATTTGCTAGCGACAATAGGGAGCTGGCGGTAACTACGGAGGTCTGGATGGCACCCAGGCCACCGAAACTCCACTGAACTCAAGTACGGTGCCGACCCATGAAATGCTGCAAAGGGTCAGCATGTGCCGGCTTGTCGTAAAAGTAGTCATATACTACTACAAACGTTACTGCTGCTACTACTACTACTACTACTAATGCAAATTCACAATTTTCTTATTCGCCCGCGCGCACTACTAAGTTTGGTGGTCTTTAGAGGATGTCATCCATAAAATTAAGGCAGTTTGGCCTTATCCTACCCCACAGTGTCAGTGTCAAGAGTACAGAGAGGGCAACTCTGGGAAACATCCGCTGGCGGTGTGTGTATGTGTCCAATTAACAGTCTGCTTCTTTTGTGTCAACCTTTGACCACATTATGGACGTCAAACACGAAAAGGAACAACTATTGTCTCCAAGCAGATACGTGGCCGTGTGGCTACCTTTCTTACGTTGTTTGTCTGTGCATTTATTTGTCTACTTTCTAAGGTAAGTTTCTGTTTAACTCGCCACTTAAATATGAAGACTAAAATGACCTACAATTTTAGGTAATAAACACCTGTCTCTCAATAGGAGGCTGACCATGGAGTTCCCAGATATCCGAATTTACTACCCCCTGATGTCCTTTGTAGTTACCTATAAAATAAACGTAGATGAACAAAATTTCTGTCTAGGCCGAAGTACAAACGTTATAAGGAAAAGTCTTGAAGATACAATTTATTTTCAGGATTTCTTTCTTTCTAGTCAAAATATGTTGCACAAACCCCTACCGTAGCCTCGCGAGGTTGAACCGAGGGAAGGCTGTATATTTGTTTTTCCTGTCGGCCGGATGTCTGTTGTTCCTCCATCAAGTGATCCAATTCAAAATCATTCAATCTGTCTTCAAGAGGAAATAAACTGAGATATGCTCCAGGTTTTAACATTTCAAACAGTTATCACGGACAGTTGGAAAGACTTTATTTTTGTTAAATTTTTGCCTCTCTCGATTTTTAGGTCGCTCCTAATACAATACTTGAGTTCTTTGCATTGAATTGGTCCAGTTCCTCTTACCTACAACTTGACAAACAAACATACTTTAAAAAACACCCCCTGACATTCCAAATACCATAACCCAATTGAATGACAAGCTAACTGATTTGATAAAATTGTTACGTGACACCTTTGCTTGACAAAATCTAAATATGGTCGAGATGAAGATGAAAATAAGCTATGAATGAAAGAGAATGTTGATATCTTTGTCCCCGGTGGAAGCCCCTGTTGCATGTACAGATTGACTAGCGGCACGGGAGGATCGAAGCCAAAATAGACACGTAGATGGCAAGTATTGAACAAGTCTTTCATTCATTTAAACCGTAATATTTACAGAGATTAGCATATTGACATCAAAGACATCACGCCAATGCAATTGATGAAGAAATCTGTCTGATATTGACATTTACTGTCATTTCTTATTTTCGTCATCATTTCATACTTGAAGCGTTTAAAATGGCCCCAGAACAAGCTACGTGAGGCGTCTTTTTATTCATTATTATTATTTTTGGTACCGCCAATAAGTAGCCAGAAACGGAGTAGGATACAAAACAAGCAACCCTTTTCCGTCAGCGACATCGTATTTTTACTTCACAGATGTCTATATGCATGAAATAGGATTGCTTCAACTTACTATATTAAGTTTGGGCGCTTTGGATTTGCTTGTCCATTAAAACCGTAATATTTACAGAGATTAGTATAATTGACATCAAAGGCATCACGCCTCTGTTTAGATAACACCGTCACATGATGCTAGAAAAGACTGGCATCTCAGCCATGGCAGTGATGTTTGTTGTGGAAGCATTCCAAAAATATCCTCACTGAAACTACTGACGAGAAATGACCTAGGAAAGTATTTCTCGTGGACGAGAATTGTGTAAGGCCAAATGCTTGAAGTTAAATGTGAGGTGAAATATCTTCATCAGATTAGCTAAGACCTAAAAAAAAAAGAAACAAACAGAATTTGCTACGGTGTGTACGTGTGTCTCTGCACTTTTTGGACAAGTATACCCACAGTACCTCAGATCATCAAGTGACTACACACAGTTCTTTCACGATGTATTCTTACTGATTTTTTTCAGAGCAAAGTCAATGTCTTTTTACAAAATTGACCGATGCCAACAAAGCAGAGCATACGGTATGTGTTTTCATTCGGACTGAGTTGTAACAGCCGGGTATGCACGGCTGAGTGATCCATTGATCAAGCTATTCCCTTTTTTGACATACTTGCGCAAACCTACCGACCAGATTAACACATTTTCGGGGTCATTAGGGAAGTCTAATAGCCAACTAATGACTCTGACGGTTCTGTTTGCGTCAGTAATGTTTGTGTTGGACTCAAAATAATGTCTAGGCAAAAAGCACACCACGTCAAACGGCTTTCGCTTTTAATCGTTAGGATCAGAGAAGAATGTGTCTTTAAAGGGCATAAATTTAAAGGTTTCTTATGGTGCTCCAAGATCCAGAAACCGAGGATCGGGGTGATGTAATGGTTAAAGGTGATATCCTGGTTACCAAACCTATTTTTGCTGTCGAGTCTCAAATTTGTCCTCGCCGGCAGCTAAAATAGATTTGGTAACAAGGCTATGATTATGAAGGCGAAGTGTTCGTTTAGAATCGTAATATTATCACGTCCACTCAGTTTTGCAGGGAAAATGGTATGTCAATCAATCAATCAATCAATCAATCAATCAACCAATCAATCAATCAATCAATCAATCAATCAATCAATCAATCAATCAATCAAACCGACCACTCAATCAATCCGATCACTCAATCAATCGACCAATCTGTTATCCTTCCCTCTGATATAACAGTTATGGTCATGATAAAAATATCGGTTTATCCATGTTATCGTGGAAATAAGTGAAGAGCATTGTCAATGATTTACGTATGGTGATTTCGACTACTATGTCAAAGACATGAACGGTGTTATAAGCTGGAAGGACGTTCTGTTGCCTTTGTTTGTGCGCCTCCATTTTCCAGACGATGCCTTCGGGACATGACCTTGTGTGACAACCTCAAGGTCGTCCGGGTTGTCCTTCCTCTTCGACCTCACGATAAGACAGGCGATGATGGAGCAATTTAGAAGATTTTGCTATTAAAACCTGATGACACAACGCGACTTCTTCATCACCTCGGGTCACGGGTGTTAGGGGGCCTTGGCCCTAAGATTTAAGCCATATTGCAGTTGGACGGTTTCAATGTCAGAGTGAAAATCCACCCGCGAGGCTGTGGTAGGGGTAGTGAGGATGGAAAATGAAAGAGATGAGGTAATCTCTCTGATATTGACATTTATTGCCATTTCTTAGCACATTTTCGTCATCATTTCATACTTTAACGCGTTTGAAACAAGCTATGCACCGCCCATACATACAACCAGCTAGCCTACGATACATAACAAGCAACCATTGACATTGCATTTGTGCCTCACAGATATCCGTATCATATGGGATAGGATTAATTTAGCTCAATACATTAAAAGAATGACCAGAAATTTGACTTTAAAAATCAAGATTTGCTACCCTGAAATTGCATTGGACGGCTTTAAAGGGGCTTATTCTGTCTTTACAGCATTGAGTGTGGGACTAAAATAGTGGGACCCACTGTCGTCCTTCCATGAGTAATCATATGTGGCACATTTCACACCTCCATGTTATACGCCTTAACGGGAAGACTTGATTTATTTTTGGAGCGACAGACACAAACCCTTGCGTCCTCTTAGGCGTAACAGTATAATCTTAGCACATGAGACAGAATAGAAATATGTATGTGGCATCACAAACTGATATAAATTGAAGCTCGTGTCACCGCGTGGTATCACTGCAACACTGCATTGGCAACTGAGCGGACATCCATCAGTTGTAACGTTATTTCGGGTAAATCTGATCAATGGCCTACTCCTAGACGTCTAGACCCTTTCTATTATTAACAGGCACTAACAATGATAATGATGACCTGTATTTTTCTTTGTGCTTCGGTTCCACAACCTGCTATTTGTGGTTTGTATATATAGGAGGAACATGCCTTTTTTCGAGAACTTTAATCTACTGCAGTTAACATAATATCCGCTAGGATCCAGCACAGGAATAGCTAGCTACTACCAAACAGTAGCCTGGATGCCAGACCCAAAGCACACTGGACACAAAGTATCTCAGTGTGCTAGCTCAGGCTCACTGAGATATTTGTGTCCAGTGTGCTATGGGTCTGGAACCCAGGCTACCAAACAGCAAAGAACAAATCAAAGATCAAGCCGTACCAACCTACTTTAATAGTCTCTTGCTAGATAGTAGTAACACTAAAGCATTGCGGATGTATCATAAAATCATAAGGCTATTTGTAAAGTGTAAAAAAAAGAAGGCTGCTATGGACAAACTTTTATAATGCTCTCAGAAAATGTGGTCGGGAAGAAATGTTTCAAATTTCGCGGGCATTTTTTCGTAAATCTCGCGAGAACGAACGAGGAGGAGGCGTGGCTTTGTCTGGTTCTGAGAGTCGGCGGAAAACCGAGCCATTCATTTCCGTGCCAGGGAGTAAGCTTACAGGCGGCACCGACTGAAAATCTACCCTCCTGAACAACCAAACAACAGGTAAGTGAATATTTCAGCCACTAGAGAGTCTTTGTTTGAGTTCAAGTGGGCGACAGACGATCTTTTCTGAGCTGTTCGCCTTGTTGAAGTGGTCAGCTGACGGGGTAAAAGTCGGGTTAGTGCACCCAGTGCCGTCGATTTGAATAAAGATCGTCTGATAAAAACTTAGCGCTCGGCATGTTAGTGCACTTTATAATTTTTTCCCTCCACATATACATAGATTCCCCCTAATGATTTTCCACAAATTTGCTGAATTTCAGACTCCATTGGAATATGAGATTGTTTTCTCTATTTATTTTAAAGTTGCTGAGGAAAAGATTCTCGCAAGTTTCAGCGGCACAAATTATTTTTGAATCCCTTCCAACCGCGGTCATACATGTATGTTCTGGGAAAGCGGCAATTTTGTCCTTTGTAGAATTCCCCGAACAACGTTTATTTGCACAGAAAGTATTCATTACTGGCTTCAAGTTGTTTAATTGGCCCGGTGCCTTTTCATTAAATATTGTCAAAACGACCCTAACACAATTATCTTTTAAAAAGAGGAGGGGGTTGGGGGAGGGGGGCATTTCAACCACTCTAAAAGACCAGAGTCTGAATCAACAGACTGGAATTTAGAGTTTTAATGAGATTTTCCTGTTACTTCTTTTGAGTCCTTGCAATTGTCTTGAACAGATCACAATATAGAACACATAATCTAGGCAGCAAATGCAATTGCTTATCCAATAATAAACTAAATTATGTTCCATTGTTGAGTTGGCAAGAAAGCACCACAGATGATACTTCCATGGTCTACTGGTCAAACTGAATAGAATCATAAAAATCGAAGTGTCATATTTTGCCAATATTTTCTTGGGAAAAGGTGTAATAAGAGCGTTCGTACATATGTCGTAAAATGTTTATAAATCCTAAAGGACGATGAAGAGTTAATGTGGGTAAAATTTCTTCTTTGTGTTGCCTTTTTTTTTTCTTCTCAGAAAATGAGGAACATTATCCTGTGTTTACTTAGGGTTACTCTTGAGATAAGAACTTAAAGAAGTCAATTTTGACCAATGATAAATACATGTATTATTGATATTCTAAGCAATACGCTACCTGTATCAGTGATTTTGTAGATTCGAAAAAAGGAAAAAAAAATTATATATACTGTACAGTATACAGTATGTCAATAGTAAGTATTTTCTGAAATCACCAGTCTTACTCATCTGTGGTTTTTAACACGTTCAAATCAGTGTTTTTTTGGAGTAGATATAGTTTTCTGTATATTATGATACACAACTTTACAAGGCTGGACAAGTCCTTTGTAGTTAGTTGGCACTGTGAAATCTGGCCCTTTCTTTGGGACAGTCCCTGGACAAGTATCCATGAAATTCCTCTTGACTAAACCAGGTCACAAACACTTTAAGATGCTGTTCATCAGAATGTGTAGCCAGGAAGTGGGTTCATTCCTTCCTATAACTTTGTCAATTTGCATGGTGGGACCTGCTTTCCCTTTGTTTTGTCAACTTCCCGGACATTCCAAGCGAATTGTTCAAATTGGAGAAGGCAACATCACCAGATGCTCACTTGTCCTGATCTCCTATGAATACATTTGTGGAGTCGTCCTTGTTTGTCCAATGCAAATACACCTCCTGCAAGGCCAGAGTCCAGACACTGCTGTACTGTATAAAACCTACCCCAAGTAGCCTTTGGCATATTGGACCAGGAAGCAATATTGGTACAAGGAAGAAGTCAAAATGATATATGACACATATACATGTATTTGTAATCTAGTCTACAGCCTAGAAGTGTGTGTTTTGGTGGGTACTAGTATTATTAATATATTGTAACCCTACCTCTATGCTAAAAAACTGAGAGTTAAAAAGGAATATCAAAGTCCAAGTTCTTAAAATTATTGTTAACTTCAAACTTGCCTTGAAACAAATAGTTAAGGTATAGCTACTTGTGATGGCCAGTGGAGAAAAAGCTTTCTGGCAAGCTAAACTGGATCTTCCTATATACTTCTCTCCAGGCAGATGTTGTGGGAGGCTAAATTGTTTGGCAGTTTGACACATAAAATTAAAAGGCTCCCTCGTATCTGCTTGGAGATTGCCCATTTACTACTCTGGGTGGAGCATGTTTTGGTTGACGGAACCCACCAGCCAATGTTATGGTTTACTGAGCAGGTATCCCAATACCTACTTAATCCTCCTGCTCAGCAATATTGATCGTGTACTTAAACACCTGATGGAGTTCTAATTCTGACAAATAAGCTCATGTACTGAACCGATTGAGCTCCTGAGTGAGTCCTATGTAGCTTGTGCTTCTACCTGTGCTACATTATTTACATTGGACTATTAATATCATGTATTGATTCTTTTTGAAGTTTGATAAGAGTAGGAATGATAGGATTGACTTCATCTATATTATGTCTCGGGATTCTGTCTATAAAATCTGTATAAATATTTTGGTATGATATTATATTATGCTGACAAGAACAGTCTGCAATTTGTATCCTGGCAAATAAAAATTCAAAACCATGGCTGGATACAGCTGAAGTTATGAAATATCCCCCTTTTCCAATAAACAATTTTGCAGTATTAAAAATCCATTGCTGGATGCAGTGCAATGAATTCACCATACTGTAATTACTAAATCCAAATGTCAACATGTTGGTGGGTCTAGCTATTACAGACTTATTTGCATAAAAATGATGAAAGATCATTATCTTCTTATTCATCCTAGTTTCCAGATATAACAATGCTCCCTTTTCCAGTGGTGTGAAATGTCTTTGAAACGTGATCAAGCAAATAAAACAACGACAGTTGCTATACTTTTGTGTACAGTACATCACATGACTTGTAGGCCGAGACCAAAGTTCAAACAGAGACATTCACTATTTGAGTCAACTGTGGAAAAGACCAAATAACTTCCTTATTTGTAGTTTTATCTGTAGGCTGTACAATTTGTTTGTAGTTTAATTTAGAGATGCCAAAGAAGATTATAAAACAAGGATGGGGCAAATGATATGAAAATGTATCCCGTAATGAGACTGAAAATGCATGTAAATTTTCTTTCAATACATTCCTGATTAGATTTTTTAAATTAAACTAAAGAAAGTAAACTATTCTAAGGCAACATAAAGTATATAGTCAGCTACTGATATTACATTGATACATATGCCTGACTGATGGTAGAATATTACTAGTATGTTCTTTCAATGAATATTTTAATTTTCAGTAATAGCTACACATCGATACGTCCTACACATGTGTATTTGTGCTATTACATGTATACCTTTTACAAAAGCTACACTGTAGTTTGAAGCCCTGGCATGTTGCACAACTTTTGGTTACTAAAGTAACTAGGGGTGGGTGGTAGGGACACATGTCCACCAAACTACTGTGCTACCAGCTTATTGCTAAATATGGTAATATTGTATGTAATCCAAAGGTCAAGTAAAGGATGATGTCATAGTTTGTGGACTTATGCATGATAAAGTGTAAATTTGTATTCAGTAAGAGTGGTAAATGTACAATTGTATAACTGTATGGTGGCCAAAGTCTGGTACAGTGGTACTAGTATATCTTGAAAAGTACTTAGCATCATGGCTAATCTACGTAGGCAAGGGAAAAGTGTGGATTGTTAAATACATGTAGGATCCACAGTTATTGAACTGCACATGTACAGTAGTTTACTTTGGTGTGGTCCTATTCCTGTATTCCCTCAGAAGATATGTAGAGTAAATTTGAATAACCAAAGAGAGCAAGAGTGCAAATAGACAAGAGGTTTTTTTTTACAGCAATACATTTTTTCATACATGTATGTTGAAAAAGGCTTCTGGACAATTATATATACATTGTATGTATCCAGTTTGCTGGAAAAATATTTAACAGTTCCCAGTGCAAAATTTTGGAACTTGGAAGCCATGATAGTATGTGTTTAGTCTGCCCCTCCCACTTCCTTTTGCAAAGTACATTGTCAAGAATGTTTGCAATGTTATGGTCCATTTCTATCACTAATGAAGCAGAATTGTTATGTCAAAAAGTTAAAGGTGGCCTTCAGCTCGGACCACTGTATTGCCCCTGAAAAATAACACGGGACCTTAAACATTAACCATGGTAACACATTCTTTTGCCAAATCAAAACAGGCTCTTGTAGATTTTAACGGTTACCCTTTCAAACTGTCCTGTTACCTACTACTGGTATTTTGTTTTTCCTGTCATTCTTTAATAGATTAAAAAAATCCTGACTATATATTTGTATAGGTAAAATCATAAGGAATATTTCATCCAAGACAGACACAGACACTATGTCAAATAGATTTTTCCCCATCTTTACCATTGGAATGTGCCTTTTATGTCTTTCAATTCTAGAGGAATGTGGACTATGTTGCTATGTTTCCCTTGGCTGGATGGCCTATGGCATGTCTTGACATTGGGGTGACCTTTTGTACCAAATTGTAGACCATGTTTACAGACCCAATTGGGTGTTGACAAGGTTCTAAGCATGGTGATCATTGCTGAGATTGCTTTGTGATGATTTCTATGGCTAGAGGTATGTAACACCTCCTGTTATAGTGTTAGGGGCGTTTTGCACTGTGCCACTGAGTTTGAAGCTGTTTACATGCATTTTTATGCTTCGTAGACTCCTCACAAAAATGCTGTTGGTTTTTGTAGGGAGAAATTGTTTAAAAAAGTATACTGTATGTGTCATGTCCAGCTTTGTGTATGGTAGTTTGACACCACTATACACATGTAGATGTATTTACTATTCGAACTGAGGATAAACATTTGTTGTGTGTGCTGAGATCTCGTAACGTTGACCAATGTACATTGTAAATGTTCAAAGAAAACAAGCAACATACACCATTATTGTTTAGGATGGACTAGAGAATAGAAGAGCATCATTGTATCATACTGTCTGGGCCTCTTACCAGGCAATTGTTTAAGAACAAAGGGCATATAACCTTGCCCGAGTTAACCAACAACCAACACCTGACCCCCATGTACCCATTTGTGAGA